TCAGAGTCTCTGTCCTGCACATTAATGATGCCAACCTCTGTACCGGGTAACGCATTCTCAGGAACGGGACTGTTAAGAGAATTAATTACGATTACAGGGGCGTTATCATTGACATCAACGATATCTATTAATACGGAGCAATGACTGGCTGACCCCTGACCGTCTTTGGCTTGAATCGGCAGCTCAATTGAACTTTCCTCTTCATAATCAATTGGCCCTGTTAGTTTAATCTGCCCAGACAACGAATCGAGAGAAAATATTTCCAGAAGGCGCTCGGACAAATGACCAAATTCATATGTCACTTCTCCATTTTGTCCCTCATCAGCATCAGTAGCGCTCACTGTCACTAATACAGTATCTACAGGTGAATTTTCAGGCAGACTGACTTTATAGATGTCCTGACTAAAGACTGGAGCATTATCATTAGCATCCAGCACAGTGATGTATATGGCTACAGTACCTGATCTCGGTGGAGTCCCTCCGTCTACCGCAGTAAGAATTAATGTCACCTCTTTCTGCTGCTCACGATCTAATTCTTTATTAAGAAGGAGCTCACCATATTTTCTTCCATTTGCACGAGTTAGTACATTAAGAACAAACTGGTCGTTGTTTTGAAGTGTATATGATTGTACTGAATTCATACCAATATCCGCATCGTGGGCCTCGTCTAATAAGTAACGAGAACCTTTGCCTGCCAATTCGTGTATTTCGAATTTTATTACACTTTGTTTGAACTGTGGTGAATTATCATTCATGTCTTCAATATTGAGAACGAAGCGGTGCAGCTCTAAAGGATTTTCCAGCACAAGCTCTTGTTTAAGAACGCATGAAGCTTTCTTTCCACAAATATCTTCTCTGTCGATTCTCTCCGCTACGGTCAGTTCTCCAGTATTCAGATTAATGTCGCAGTATCGTTTTCTGTTACCTTCAGTATCAATTCGAGCCTTACGAGATGACAGTCTGTTCACATCGAGTCCGAGATCCTTTGCTATATTTCCAATCACAGATCCGCGTTTCATCTCCTCCGGAAAAGAATAGCTTAAGTCTCCATAAGCGGTGTGCGCCATCAGCACGAACAACAAAAGAACAATCATCTCAGCATTAACACAGAACCTTTGGAATTCTTCAGACATTAAACAAAAATTGAATCCCGTAACCTAATGATTACCATGTACAAGAAAACAAGCATAAAATCAAGTTTAGAATAGACGTAGATAATATCATGAAATCAGTCGCCGTCGACGATTTTCTGTAAAAACATGAGCTGAAAGCCCCGTGTATGACATCACAAGCAGGGTGGAGAGATGTGTACTGAAGACACACATTGTTTTTCAGGTGAACAGCGACACTATGAGTTAAAAAAAGAAACTGCACAATGTTCATATTTCTGACAGGGTTATGTGTGGGCTATATACTGTAGTTAAAATCGTTTAGCGAAACAACAGCCGGCAGCAACATTCCCTGATGTGTGGGAGATAAACATGACCACAATATTTATAGTATTTATCATGGCAGATAAAATTATCTCATTGACAATTTGTAAACAGAAAAAGGGCCAGTCACTTCTACATCATTTATATTAATGATTATTTAGCTAGCAACGAAAAAAAATCTAACTCGTGAAACAGTATTTATGACTTAAAATTGCTCAAACATGACCAGAAAAATCGAAAGATAACTTATAAAGAGAACAAGCTACTTCTTAGCCTTCAAAATGAGCTTCAAAATCTTTAAGAGAATGTTGTCAATGAAAGCAGTCCATTAAAATAAAGATACTTATCTTAGAAAAAAAAAAAAAAAAAACGTAATTCTACTCGAAAAGCAGCACCCATGTCAGCATCAAGTCCTTCAAAACCACAAGACCACAAATGTAACCATGTCATAAAGAATACGTGTAAAACACAACTTATATTTCTGAATATAGCTTATCCATAAACTCTTTTAGGTCTGACATTAAATGTCAAAAATGTAATATAACACTTTTGTTAAAAATGAAATGACTTCACGATATCAAAGGTCCTAGAACTATCAAACATTCTCTGAGGATATAAAAAGATGAAAGCAGTCCATTAAAATAAAGATACTTATCTTAGAAAAAAAAACAAAAAAAAACGTAATTCTACTCGAAAAGCAGCACCCATGTCAGCATCAAGTCCTTCAAAACCACAAGACCACAAATGTAACCATGTCATAAAGAATACGTGTAAAACACAACTTATATTTCTGAATATAGCTTATCCATAAACTCTTTTAGGTCTGACATTAAATGTCAAAAATGTAATATAACACTTTTGTTAAAAATGAAATGACTTCACGATATCAAAGGTCCTAGAACTATCAAACATTCTCTGAGGATATAAAAAGAGAAACCAGCTCAATTTCTATAACATCTATACTCATTGTTGTGAATTCTTCCCTTTAGGTTTAAGACTTGCGATCTGCGTGATGTTTCAGTAATGACTTACGTAAATAACGTAGTGCAGGGTTCACAGCATGTACGGTCTTAGCGTAACTGCCTATTCACTAAGTTACTTCAGCATGGCAGTCATACTGCGTGCTCTCACACAGGTGCAGCGTTTATGTGCAAGAGAAAGTGCGTGACAAAGTGAGTTACTTCGATGTATATTGCTAATTACCTAGATTATTACAGTGTACCACAATTGTGTTAACTTCGACAGTGTTTATGATGTTATTGAAGTTTAGCGATCTTTCTGAGTGTAATTTAATCCTGTTTAACGAACGGCTTAGCCCCGCTAACATCGCAGTGTACATTGTTCATGTTTACAACTGTATTACATTTAAGGGTAACATTTTCATGGTGATAATACCTTTCAACGACCATTATTACTAACATCTGTATTAATGATACAGTCTCATTTCTATATATAACCTGCCTCCCTCAAGTCATTCTACACCTTCATCACAGTCACCTGACACTGAACTACCTACCCAGGGACGTGTGAGTGAGATACAAAGGAATGCAAGTAAATCTCCTGCGGAGGCTGAGGACTACAACCCTGGATTTGTTCCAATACGTCCAGTCAGTTCAATCCCCTTGTATTCACCAGTTTAATCTGGAACGTTACCTTCTGTTTCGCACCAACAACAACCTGCTACAAGAGCAGAGACTGTGCCACCACTGTTTACGAAGCAGTTTCCCCTTTACGATGATGCTAGAAAAGCTTTTCAGCCCCAAGTGCAGCCACATCTAATGGCACCTACGCCAGCCTACCAGCACCTTAATGCAGCATATGGCCACTTGGCAGTGTCACCTTCACAACAACAGTTTACTGCTCTGCCTACAGCAACTTTTGTGACTCCTCATTATACTCTTATGACTCCAGTCGCATCAGTCTCTAAAACCCAGCCTAGAGTTCCAGTTACGACTCTGAATCCTCCTGCCTTTGATACCCTCTCTCTGCAGCCATTTAATAAGGCACTGAATTCAACAGAATACTTTGTGCCTCACCGCCCTTTGCATGTTGCCCCCCAGCCAAAGATTCCTGATTTTGTGAATGACAATGAAAGGGAATTTGCTAACCTGAAGTTAGCACTGGACAACCTTCTTGAACCTCATGCAGAGCTAGATGAGAAATACAAGTACCATATTTTTCTGGAGCACCTCAAATTGCCTGAGGCACAGATGATTGGCCAGTCTTGTCGCCATCATCCATACCCATACTCAGCAGCTATGCAAGCCCTTCAGTTGCAATATGGTCAACCACACCAGCTGGCTCAGAGCGAAATAGCAGCAATCCTCACAGCACCAGAGGTCAAACCAAATGATGCTCACAGCTTCCAGAGTTTCGCTCTCCGCGTCCACCTCTTAGTGAGTATGCTGTTGTCGTTGGAGGGTCCCAGAGGGATGGAGTTGAACTATTGTTCACACGTAGATCGCTTGCTCAGTAAGCTGCCCAAGTACTTAAGAGATGGCTTCATAGAGTTTCTCCAGCTGCAAGGGAAGCTCAACTCCCCAAGTATTAACCCGTACAACCTACAAGGCTTTGCTGGATGGCTCCAGGTCAAGGCTCAGCAACAGAGACTCTCCAGTAGGTTAGTGCAACGTTACCAGTATGAAAGAGCTCCCAGCAATTTAAAGGAGAAGAACGCAGCTAAACCGACCAGCCAAAGTACAACCTTGTATCATGGTGCATCACCCACAGAGTCTAAAGCATCTCCCAGTCCTAAGGTGTCTCGGAAGAGAACATCACCCAAAGTTATCTGCCTGTTCTGTGGCAGCAAAGATCACTACATCACTCGATGCAGCAGTATCAGAGAGCAGCCTGTTGCTGAACTTTGCAAGTGGATTTCGGAGGAAAAGCGCTGCTGGAAATGTGCTCGTTCTCATGCACCTGAGACCTGTAATCTAAAGAAACCCTGCAGTGACTGTGGTGGTATTCACCTTGAAGTGCTCCATGGTGTGGCCCAACGTCATGCAACTGACACATCATCAGCTAACTCTGAGAGCCGTATCTACCTCTTACCATCCATTGCTTCAGGCAGAGTCCTTCTGAAAGTGGTACCAGTTCTGCTACACCACAAATCGAAAACATTTGAGACTTATGCTATACTAGATGACGGAGCACAGCGCACCATGATTCTGCCCACTGCCATCCAGCAGCTCCAGCTGAAAGGTGAACCTGAGACTCTAGCCCTTCGTACCGTCCGACCAGACACTACTTACCTCAATGGCACAAAGGTCACCTTTGAAATCTCCCCAAGAAATAACCCAGAGAAACGCTATCAGGTGTTGGGAGCATTTACAGCTTCTGGCCTTGATCTGGTGGAACAGACATACCCAGTTCAGGCTCTTCGGAGACGGTATGCACATCTAAGGGGAGTTCCACTACAGCCATTTTACAAGGTGCGTCCGCTGGTACTCATTGGTTCAGACCAAGTTCATCTCATCACTGCCAAAGAGCCTATTCGCCAAGGCACTAAAGGGGGTCCAGTAGCAGTCCATACAGCTCTTGGGTGGGCTCTCCAAGGAGCAGTAATGTGTACCACAGACCAGGCACCAGTGCAGCAATGTTTCTTTATCTCCACTGCCCACACAGATGATCTTCTCTACAAAAATGTGGAAAGGTTATGGCAACTGGACGTGTTGCCCTTTCGCAATGAGAAGCTGGTGGTCCGGTCCAGACAAGATAACGAAGCTATGCAGCTGCTTGAGTCCCAAACGCAGCAAGTCAGTGTACAGGGTGTACAACGTTACGCCACTCCTCTTCTGTGGAAGCCAGATGCACTTAAGCTCAAGGGGTCTATGCAATCTGTTCTTGCAAACCTGAGGAGTACTGAAAGGAGACTCCAGAAAGACCCTAAGAAGGCCTCAATTTACTCAGGAGAGATTGCCAAGCTCATCGAAGCAGGTTATGTAGCCATGTGTTCTGCAACGCCTCTGAAAAAGCATATGGGGCAGTGGCATATTTCGCAGTTCAATCCGACAGTGACATTCACGTTTCCTTCATAATAGCCAGATCGAGGGTTGCTCCAAAACGGCAGCAGTCTATACCTCGTCTGGAGCTTTGTGCCGCCTTAGCTGGAGCACAGCTAGCCAAACTGGTGAAGAATGAGATGACTCTCTCCATCAGTCAGACGATCCTATGGACAGACTCCTTGACTGTGCTAGAGTGGATTCAGTCAGACTCCTGTCGATATAAGGTGTTTGTCGGAACCCGAGTCTCCGAGATACAAGAATTAACAGATCACAGATCCTGGAGGTACGTGAATACACAGGAAAACCCCGCTGACGACATAACACGAGGTAAATCGCTCCAAAGTCTGGCTGAGCCTAGTCGATGGAGTCAAGGACCTCCATTCTTGAAACCAAGAGCACTGGCCTAAGAAACCTGAACTCACACAGTCAGAGGGAGCATCCGAATTGAAAGGGCTTCCATGCTACTGCCTAATAGCAGTTAACACTGCCTCCAACATCCCTGATTCTACCCAGTTCAGTTCATGGAGTGAATTAGTGGAGGCAACTCGACAGGCCTGCGAAGGGGCGGCCACATCGGATTCTGCATCCAGTGAGCCCATGACTAGTAAAGAGGCAGAAGCTGCCCTGCTAAGAGCATGCCAACTCCAGAGCTTTCCCGAAGAAGTTGCTGCCCTCAAGGCACAGAAATCAGTTCCTGCACACAGCCGATTAGTCAGCCTTGCTCCAGAATGGGATCCACTTGGAGGCCGATTAAGGAGGCTAGCAAACTCAGACCCAGAACAAATCCACCCCATTGTGCTGGACCCAAGACATGCAGTAACGAAGCTCCTCATCAAAGAATTTGATGAGCGGCTGTTACACCCAGGAGCAGAAAGAGTCTACGCTGAAATACGTAGACAGTACTGGATTCTCAGAGGGCGTCAGGCCATAAAGTACCATCAACTTCACTGTCTGTCCTGTCAGCGATGGAGAGCTCAGCCAAAGGTTCCGCCAATGGCAGATTTGCCAACAGAACGCCTCCGACTGCTCTGTCCACCTTTCCACTCAACTGGTGTTGACTGCTTCGGCCCATACCTGGTCAAAATAGGGAGGCGAAATGAGAAACGCTGGGGGCTAATTTTCAAATGTCCCACAACTAGGGCAGTACACATTGAGCTCCTCAATTTAATGGACGTAGATGCCTTCCTTCTTGCGCTCCGCCGGTTCATAGCCAGAAGAGGTAAACCACACGAGATCCGTTCGGATTGTGGCACCAACTTCCGGGGAGCTGACAGAGAATTGCGGGAAGCTTTCTCAATTATGGAGCCAGAACTCAAAGCCCAGCTTTCAAACTATCAAATTAGCTTTAAGTTTAATCCACCCAGTGCTCCACACTTTGGCGGAATATGGGAGCGTGAAGTCCGTTCCATAAAGAATGCTCTCCAGGTGGCTGTCGGAACCCAAGCTGTCACAGAAGATGTTCTATCCACAGTCCTAGTGGAAGTGGAAGGGATCCTCAATTCGAAACCACTAGGATATGCCTCAACCGATGTCGCTGACATGGATCCGATTACTCCTAATATTCTCCTAATGGGGCGGCGGGATGCATCACTGCCTCAGGTGGCATACGCTCCAGGAGACATGGGGCGACGGAGATGAACTGTCGCCCCATGTCACCATGCACTGTCAGAGCATGGTGGACCAGTTCTGGATACACTTCACTAGAAACTACTTGCCTACGCTCCAGACCCGGCAGAAGTGGCATAAAGCTCCAAAGAACCTGGAAGTTGACTCTGTCGTACTTATTGTGGATCCGCAACTCCCAAGAGCTCAGTGGCCCATAGGCAAAGTTCGAAAGACATTGCCCAGTAGTGATGGATATGTGCGGACGGCTGAAGTTGTCGTTGATGGTAAAGCTTACATCAGACCAGTTGCCCGCCTGATTGAGTTGCCTGCTTTAGAAAGTAATACTAAAGACATTTAGAGAATTCCCTTTATTACCCATTTGCTGCTCAAATGTGGGGGCGGCTGTTGTGAATTCTTCCCTTTAAGTTTAAGACTTGCGATCTGCGTGATGTTTCAGTAATGACTTACGTAAATAACGTAGTGCAGGGTTCACAGCATGTACGGTCTTAGCGTAACTGCCTATTCACTAAGTTACTTCAGCACGGCAGTCATACTGCGTGCTCTCACACAGGTGCAGCGTTTATGTGCAAGAGAAAGTGCGTGACAAAGTGAGTTACTTCGATGTATATTGTTAATTACCTAGATTATTACAGTGTACCACAATTGTGTTAACTTTGACAGTGTTTATGATGTTATTGAAGTTTAGCGATCTTTCTGAGTGTAATTTGGTCCTGTTTAACGAGCGGCTTAGCCCCGCTAAAATCGCAGTGTACATTGTTCATGTTTACAACTGTATTACATTTAAGGGTAACATTTTCATGGTGATAATACCTTTCAACGACCATTATTACTACCATCTGTATTAATGATACAGTCGCATTTATATATATAACTTATATTTCATTGCTCATAAAAAACACGACTGTATACAGACCTACATAAAAGCAAAACATCAACAGGAAAGAACACGGCCTGTACAGCACCATGGACAGCTAATATAAATATGCCCTTTCTACTAAATTTACTATGCCAGTGAACTAGGGTTTACAATGAAGTAAGAATTTAAAGCATTTTATTAAATGATCTCACATAACAGACAACGAGATGGATAAAAAAAAATTACATGTTTATCCTGCATGGGCCACATAATAATATCTATGTAATTGATCAATACCATTTCTAAAACTATTAAAAAGCATGTTGTCAATGAAAGCAATCTGTAAAACCCATATACATCAAAGACTTCATTAGTCCTACCTGAAAGTAATCGTTCACTTCCGCATCAAGTCCTTCAAGATCATCCACAGCAGACTGAGTCTTTCTCAGAGTCAGGTCAGCAGTCAGCGTGCCCTCATTATAAGATCTGATGAACTTGAAGTCACTAGTGCGCGAGCCCGTGGTCAGGTATGCGTCATAATTGGAAACGGACACCAGCGCGATGATCAAATAAAACGTCAGTTTGGAGCTGCTCTCGTCACGAGACATGTCTTTCAGTTCTGGGACTTCAGCCAAGTTATCTGATATAAGTAAATACAATGCGCACGTGGCTGAGAGAGAGGGCCGTCCGTTATCACTCACGGACACAATGAGGTTCTGCTTCATGCTGTCAGATTCAGAAATGTCCCGCTGCGTCCTGATCTCTCCGCTGTGGACACCGATAGTGAAAAGTCCCGGATCGGTCGCTTTAATAATGTGATATGAGAGCCATGCGTTCTGGCCAGAATCCGCGTCCACGGCGATCACCTTGGAGACCAGGGAGCGCGCCTGAGCAGCTTTGGGTACCATCTCTGTCATGAAGGAGTTTCCTTCCGGTAAGGGGTATAAAATCTGAGGGGAGTTGTCATTCTCATCCGTTATGAAGACACTCACGGTCACGTTACTGCTCAGAGGAGGAGAACCGTTGTCTCTGGCTAACACGAGCACTTTGAAACTTTTCAACTGTTCGTAATCAAACGACCTCACGGCATGAATGACCCCGGTGTCTCCGTTAATAGATAGAAAGGAGAACACCGGTGCGCCATTTACATCAGAGGACAACAGAGAATATACCACAGTACCATTCTGTCTCCAGTCCGGGTCTGTAGCTGACACTGAACAAATAGAGGAGCCCGGTTTGTTATTTTCTTGCACATGAGCTCTTTAGTTCTGCTCCTGAAATACAGGTGGATTATCATTCACGTCAGCTACAGTCAAGTGAATGTTCTTAGTGGAAGATAAAGGCGGAGAGCCCTCATCAGTAGCAGTAATTGTAATATTATAATCAGAGAGCAGTTCGCGGTCAAATTAACCTGTGGTCACAAGAGAATAGTAATTTTTGATTGAAGGTATGAATTTAAACGGGATGTTTTGCTGAATGGAGCAGCACACCTGTCCGTTATTCTCAGAGTCTCTGTCCTGCACATTAATGATGCCAACCTCTGTACCGGGTAACGCATTCTCAGGAACGGGGCTACGCAAAGATTTCAATTGTATCTCAGGAGAATTGTCATTAACATCTGCCAGTTCTATTACAACTTTAGCATCACTGGATAAACCAAATACATCTTTCCCTTCAATGCGTAATTCATAAACAATTTCGTCCTCATAATCTAGTGAACCCGTAACTCGAATGGCACCTGTATTTGGATCTAATGAAAACAGGTTTTTGGCTTTGTCAGAAATACGACTGAACTCATATGTCACTTCTCCTTCAGCATCAATTCGAGCCTTACGAGATGACAGTCTGTTCACATCGAGTCCGAGATCCTTTGCTATATTTCCAATCACAGATCCACGTTTCATCTCCTCCGGGAAAGAATAGCTCACTTCTCCATAAGCGGTGTGCGCCATCAGCAAGAAGAACAAAAGACCAAACATCTCACCAGCAACACCGAACCTTTAAAATGCGTAAAATTAAACCCAGCAACACAGCGATATGTAAAAATAATACGATACGACATGTAAAAGAAAACGAATGTAAATCTAAACTGAGAAATTAGGCAAAAGTACAGTATAAAAGCCACCGTCGACAATTTTCTAAAACGTGACGAGACCTAAGCCCTGTGTTTGACATCACAAGCAGGGTGGAGACTGCACTGAAGACACGCAGTTTTGCAGGTGAACAGCGACACGATGAGTTAAAATAAAAAACTGCATAATGTTCATATCTCTGACAGGATTGTCTGTTATATAGTTTGAATTATTTTTAAAAACAAGAGCCAAGAGAATTATTTCCAACAAGTGGGAGATAAACATGATCACAGTATTTTGCAGTATTTAAATGAATAAATAAACAAAATAAAATAAAGCCATGGCGGTATAGAAAGTTAAGAGATCAACTTTATAGGAGCAAAATACAATACAAAACACCAAAAGTGAATGGCAGTGCAGCACCATGGGCAGCCACATGAAAAACCTTTATTCTATTTTCAACCCGAATAAAAGAGAAATTGGCGAGAAAAACGCTAAATTACTTTTTTAAAATACCAACATTTCCTCAAAGAGTTCATTACAAACTGCATAAACTATATACTGACACACGGATGTCACACAAAATGTTAAAATAAGCGACTCGTAAAACATTTGACTTACACTTGCTCAAACGTGAGCAGAAAATGTCCTTCAAAAATCACAAGAACACAAAATATAACAATTTTATAAAGAACTCACCTGTAAAAGACAACTCACATTACTGAATGTAGTTAACTTTCATATGTCTGACATTAAACGCCAAAACATGAATAACACTTCTGTTGCAAATTAAGTTGCTTCACAATATCAAAAGGCCTGGCACAACCAAACATTCTGATGCGAAGAGAAAACAATCTCAATCATTTATAAAATCAATCCGTAAAAAACACAAGCAAGCAAACCTATATAGTATAAGAGCAAACCTCAACAGCAACACACACGGTGCTGAACCACGGACAGCAAACAGAAGTATGACATTCCTACTAAATTTCGTATTCCAGTAAACTGCCATTTAAAAATAATAAGTATGTAAAGCTCTTTTAAACATGTTCACATAGCAGACAATAAGAGAAGAAAGCAAGGCAGTAAATAAAAATGTATAGAACCTTCTTAGTGATTCATATTTCATGAGATCACATGACTCGCCTTTATCTTCGCGCACATAAAATTATCTTTCTGTAACAGATTAACATTTCTGGAACCACGTGCAATAAATATATAAAATAAGACAAAATTAAATAAAAAATTATTATTATATAAAAATACATTTTAATGTAGCACAAACACACATTAAATCTTTAAAACCAAACTATTAAATAAATTAAAAAAATTATTTAGCTAATCCTACCTGAAACGAATCGCTCATTTCCGCATCAAGCCCTTCAAGATCATCCACAGCAGACTGAGTCTTTTTCAGAGTCAGGTCAGCAGTCAGCGTGCTCTCATTATAAGATCTGATGAACTTGAAGTCACTAGTGCGCGAGCCCGTGGTCAGGTATGCGTCATAATTGTAAGCGCTGCGGAGAGTTCCCGCGCCCTCCACCTCTGCGTAATTTGGAGACTGTTCGTAATCAAACGACCTCGCGGCATAAATGACCCCGGTGTCTCCGTTAATGGATAGAAAGGAGGAGACCGGTGCGCCATTGACATCAGAGGACAACAGAGAATAAACTACAGTGCCATTCTGTCTCCAGTCCGGGTCTGTAGCTGATACTGAACAAATAGAGGAGCCCGGTTTGTTATTTTCTTGCACATGAGCTCTGTAATTCTGCTCCTGAAATACAGGTGGATTATCATTCACGTCAGCTACAGTCAAGTGAATGTTCTTAGTGGAAGATAAAGGCGGAGAGCCCTCATCAGTAGCAGTAATTGTAATATTATAATCAGAGAGCAGCTCGCGGTCTAACTCACCTGTGGTCACAAGAGAATAGTAATTTTTGATTGAAGGTACGAGTTTAAACGGGACGTTTTGCTGAATGGAGCAGCGCACCTGTCCGTACCCTCACGGTCACGTTACTGCTCAGAGGAGGAGAACCGTTGTCTCTGGCTAACACGAGCACTTTGAAAGTTTTCAGTTTTCAACTGTTCGTAATCAAACGACCTCGCGGCATAAATGACCCCGGTGTCTCCGTTAACGGATAGAAAGGAGGAGACCGGTGCGCCATTTACATCAGAGGACAACAGAGAATAAACTACAGTGCCATTCTGTCTCCAGTCCGGGTCTGTAGCTGATACTGAACAAATAGAGGAGCCCGGTTTGTTATTTTCTTGCATATGAGCTCTGTAGTTCTGCTCCTGATATAC